GGAGTGAGGACCTGATTAGCAGGTATAGGTCAGCAATAGAGATAATTAGGAGGAAGGGTGGGAAACCTGTCATATGTGGCATTTTGCCAAGGAGAGGAGTTGGAAATGAATGGTTGTCCAGAGCAATTGGTGTCAATTGCTGGCTGGACAAATACTGTAAGGAAAATGCGGTAACATTCATTGACAACTGGGACCTCTTCTATGGCAGAAATGACATGTATGCCAGGGATGGGGTTCACTTATCTAGGTGTGGGGTGGGAGCACTGGCCAACGCAGTGGAGGGAGCTGTTAGGTCTTTAAACTAGGAATAGTTAGTGGTATGGGTTTTGGCGGGAAAACTGTGAAGTCGCAGGGTAGTAACATGAGTACTAGGAGAACTAGTAATAGGCAAAATGAGGTGGATATTGGAAAGCCAGTGGCACTAATTGACAAGGACAGTAATAGGTTTAGTGGAATAACAGAAAGGGTAAAGAGAGAGGAGGGTCATTAAATATTTATTACACAAATAGTCGCAGTGCTAGGAATAAGATGGACGAGTTGAGACTAGTTGCTAGTGCAGGTAACATAGATGTATTTGCCATTACTGAGACGTGGTTTAATTCAAAAAGTCGGGATATGCCTGCAGAATGTCACATTCAGGGTTTTAAATTGTTCCAAGTAGATAGAAGTATCGGGAAGGGGGGGTGGGGTGGCATTGTATGTCCGAGATCGCTTGAACTGTTGCATAAAAACGGGTATTAAGTCTGAAGTAACACATACAGAGTCTGTTTGGATAGAATTTTCAGAGGGGCATGAAAAATTAATTTTAGGTGTGATATACCATCCCCCAAATTTAGATAGGGACCAGGGGAGACTACTATGGGAGGAAATTGTTAGGGCCACAAGGCACGATAATGTAGTAATTCTAGGAGACTTTAACTTTAGTCATATTGATTGGAATTTCTTGACTGGGAATTTAGAATCATACGATTTCTTAGAAGTAGTTCAGGATTGTTTTTTGAAGCAGTTTGTGACAGAACCTACAAGGGGTAATAACCTGCTTGACTTAGTTCTGGCAAACAATGAATCCCTTGCTAATAATTTAGAAGTTTCAGAGGAACTGGGTGCTAGCGACCACAAATCAATTACATGTAGAATTGAATGGAAGTATGATAGTAGGGATAACTCAGTAACAGTCCCAGATTTTCGCTTAGCAGATTACGATGGGCTTAGAGAACACTTATCATCTGTTGACTGGGGTAACGAAGAGAGCTATCAATAAGACAGTTTTCTGAACACAATACATGCTGCTCAAAGAACGTTTATCCCTTATAAGGAAATCAGATCAAATAGAAATGGACCAAAATGGATGAATAATAGGCTGAAATATCTACTAGGGCATAAGAAAGGAATTTATAGGCGTATCAAAAGAGGCGAGGGTCATCTTATGAATCAGTATATTGACATTAAGAGGGACATTAAAAAGGGGATAAGAAAAGCTAAAAGGGACTAAGAAATTAAAGTTGCTAGGGATTCTAAAACTAACCCAAAAAGTTTTTTCCAGGTCTATAGAACAAAAGTCAGAGATAAGATAGGTCCCCTTAAAAATAACTATGGGCATCTTACTGACAAAGAGAATGAAATGTGCTCGATTTTAAATAATTATTTTCTCTCGGTTTTTACGCAGGAAGACACTAATAATATTCCGGTAATTAATTTTCATAGTGGATCAGAAGAAGATAAATTATGTAACATCACAGTCACTAGTGAAATGGTTGTGAAGCAGATAGACCGACTGAAGCAAAATAAGTCACTGGGTCCTGATGAGGTTTTTTCAAGGGTTCTAAAGGAATGCAAAATGGAAGTCTGTGAACCATTAACTAATATTTTTAATTTATCTCTTCAAACAGGTGTAGTGTCTGATATGTGGAAGATGGCTAATGTAATTCCTATTTTTAAAACAGGGGACAAGTCGTTACCGTCAAATTACCGCCCAATAAGCCTGATCTCAATTGTAGGCAAATTACTAGAGTCAATTATAGCTCAGATTATAAGAAGCCATCTCGATAAGCATAGCTTGATTAATGATACTCAGCATGGATTCACAAGAGGCCGGTCTTGTCTAACTAATTTATTAACTTTCTTCAGTAAAGCTTTTGAGGCTGTTGACCACGATAAAGAATTTGATATTATTTACTTAGATTTTAGTAAGGCATTTGATAGAGCTCCGCACCAAAGACTGTTGAAGAAAGTAGCAGCTCATGGCATTGGGGGAAGGGTGCTCTCGTGGATCGAATCATGGCTCACAGACAGGAAGCAGAGTGTGTGCATAAATGGGGTTAAATCCGAGTGGGGATCAGTAACAAGTGGCGTTCCACAGGGATCAGTCTTGGGCCCGTTGTTGTTTATAATATATATCAATGATCTTGATGAAGGAATTACTAGTGATATGAGCAAATTCGCCGATGACACGAAGATAGGTAGGATAATTGATTCAAACGTAGATGTTAGGGAACTTCAGGAGGATTTAGACAAACTCTACTCTTGGTCAGAAAAGTGGCAGATGCAGTTCAATGTAGAAAAAATGCAAGGTTCTGAAGCTCGGGAGTGTCATAACCCTAGCACTTGTAAGTTAAATAATGTAGAACTTAACCATACAGATTGCAAAAAGGACTTGGGGGTTATGGTAAGCAGCAACCTTAAACCAAGACAGCAATGCCTAAGCGTACGTAATAAGGCAAATAGATTACTGGGATTTATATCAAGAAGTGTAAGCAACAGAAGTCCAGAGGTCATACTGCAGCTTTATACATCATTAGTAAGGCATCACCTAGATTTGCAGCTCAATTCTGGTCTCATTATTACAGAATGGACATAAATTCGTTAGAAAGCATTCAGCGTAGGATGACTAAATTAATACATAGTATTAGAAATCTTCCTTATGAAGAAAGATTGAAGACTCTTAATTTTACATTCACTTGTTAGACGAAGAAATGAGGGGGGGACCTGATCGAAGTGTATAAGTGGAAGATAGGTATTAATAAAGGAATTAAACAAGGTCTTGGGATACTCTCAAGAGAGAACCCGTAGTAATGGATTTAAATTAGATAAGTTTAGATTTAGAAAGGACATAGGAAAGTATTGGTTTGGAAATAGGGTAGTAGATGAGTGGAACAGTCTACCTAGTTGGGTTATTGAGGCTAGGACTTTAGGTAGTTTCAAATTTAGGTTGGATAAATACATGAGTGGGATGGGTTGGATTTGAGTGGGACTTGCACATCAGAGCTTATTTCTTGGGTAGCATTGAAAATTGGGTTGGTCAAATGTTTGTTAGTGAGATGAATTGTAAAGGACCTGCCTAGTATGGGCCAACAGGCCTGCTGCAGTGTTCCTCCTTTCTTATGTTCTTATGTTAAATCCTGCATGTTTATGAGATGGAAAAAAAGACACCAGCAATCCTATCATCATGTAAAACAATTACAGGCTTCCATTTTATACTCATCTGGCAGGACGGTAGCATTTCTCTGGGTGGTTGCTGTCTACCAACCTACTACCTAGGTGTATTGTTTTTTGTTTTTTTCAACAAACCGGACATATCCCACCAAGGCAGGGTGGCCCAAAAAGAAAAACGAAAGTTGCTCTTTTTAAATTTAGTAATTTATACAAGAGAAGGGGTTACTAGCCCCTTGCCCCCGGCATTTTAGTCGCCTCTTACAACACGCATGGCTTACGGAGGAAGAATTCTGTTCCACTTCCCTATGGAAATAGAAGGAAATAAACAAGAACAAGAACTAGAAAGAAAACAGCAGAAAACCCAGAGGGATGTGTATATATATGCTTGTACATAAATGGGAAGTACAATGCCTGCACTTTAAAGGAGGGGTTTGGGATATTGGCAGTTTGGAGGGATATGTTGTGTATCTTTATATGTATATGCTTCTAAACTGTTGTATTCTGAGCACCTCTGCAAAAGCAGTGATAATGTGTGCATGTGAAAGTGTTGAATGATGATGAAAGTATTTTCTTTTTGGGGATTTTCTTTCTTTTTTTTGGGTCACCCTGCCTCGGTGGGAGACGACCGACTTGTTGAGAAAAAAAAAAAAAAAAAAAATGTATGTGTAGGGTGACCTAAGTGTAAGTAGAAGTAGCAAGGCGTACCTGAAATCCTGCACGTTTATGAGATGGAAAAAAAAGACACCAGGAATCCTACCATCATGTAAAACAATTACAGGCTTCCATTTTACACTCATCTGGCAGGACAGTAGCATTTCTCTGGGTGGTTGCTGTCTATCAACCTACTACCTAGGTGTATTGTTATATTGGCATTATATGCAAGCAGTTATGTTTTTATACACTAGTTTTAAAATAGCTTACAATATGAAACCACAGGGAGTATTCCAACAGTCATTCTCCACCATGATGATGTTTCATCTTTTATTAATCTCCCTTTCTCTCATAGAATTTGTATTATTATGATACTTTTCCTGTTAACATGGCTTGCTTCATCAGTCAGCAAAGTAGTTTTTGTGTGAGGCTGTTCCAAAGGCCAATTTTAGAGTATGAATATGCAGACCTCCCATTTTCCTCTCTCTCACTTAATCTGTCAGTCAGTTGCATCTCTTAAGATTTGCTAGGAACAACTTTACCTATATACAGCAGAGTTAACATTTTTAAACTGCAGCTGCCTCCTATGTTTTGACACATAAAGTGAAAGAAAATATAAACTTCAGACCAAAATGTAACATCATGACTAGTTTAAAAAAAAAAAAAAAATCAAATTATGGCAATCTTATGCACTCAAGAAATATATTAAATACCATTCCTCTTTAAATCATGAAAATACCTTTTAACTATGAAGAAGGCAGATGTACAGGTTAGCCGGAAGAAAAAAGAATTGCAAGCAAGCTCTACAATTAAATTATAAACCTTAAAGAGAGATGTAAATGTTGATTACAATGCAGGAATTACGAAGCTGAAGTGAAGTTTGCACACCCTTGCCATACACAATCACAAAAACAAACCTTAACGAAGCAGAAAGAACATTGTAATTCTTGGAACCGAAGGGCCTACGAAAAATCCTTAGCTTTGAGCTGCCAATGGAGCCAGTACTGTCCCCTAGGCCCTTGGGTGTCTGTTAAAAGTGAGTGGAGGCGATGAGGTTAGTCAGTTGTTTGGCTTGGTTCACTATCTCTGGAATCACTGACAAACTGTAAAGCTGAGGAGATGCACTGACGAGACCATAAATATACATGCCATTAATAAGCCATCACTATTACAAATCCAGTCTTTTAAAAAATCTTTGTTTAATGCTCTGATGTCCTGAATGGTTTGTGATCTATAAACAAACTGTTTACTGAGCAAGATTTGGAAATACCTTAAAAGCATTATTCAATCCTCCTTCACAATTCAACACATTTTATGTGCCAATATGCGAGCTTAACGAGTCATCACGTGAAAACTCACTAACCTCGATGGAGGCTTTAAATTCAATGCCCAGAGAATCATGGTGCCCATGACAGCAGGATGCTACTGTCCATTTTCCAACCCCACTTACACATTCCTAGGAAGAGTCAAATGTCTCTTATATTCACTGTGACATCATAAGCAATAACGAAGATCCTTCACGAGTTCAATATACTGTTAGAAAAAATGACCAATTATGAATGAAACACAAATGCAAGTAAAAACTTTCATTTAAGTAACCAAGTTAGTGATGGATTGACATGCCATGTTTTAAAAACTTAATGCATTTAAACATTCCTCTTAGCAGTACATCATAAGCTAATAAATTAAAACTAAGTCACAAACAGGCAAAGACATGAGCAGAAGGGTTTTCTTTGTCCTTATAGAATTCAGTTATCAAGATTTCCAGTTAAGTGCTAAAGAAAAGCAATTTTTATAATGAAGAGTGCCTTAACTAGAGGCTATACCCTAACATTAACAAGTGCCCATGTATTATACAATACTAATTCTCAACAATGCCAGTACAAATAATCTCCATATCACTGGTCAACATTATCACTATACACCTATCTCCAATAAGCCATGACCAGCTAACAGCTTCTAAAAACCCTCTGACCAATAATACTTTCATTAGATTCACAACTATGATGCATAAACCTATATAATTAATAAACAAAACTTAATTTTTTATTGATGATGATGAAGGGTGAAAAATTAAAGGGATCCCAAAGTAGGTGTTGGGCAGCAAAACACCCTCACAGAGCAATCCTTAATCTTTCCCTCTGTCAAACTATCAAGCTTTACTATATCCTTGAATTCACTGAACAATTTATCTCTATTAATGAAGTACTATTGACCTGCATCCACACATCCTCTTCCTTTTGTAAATTTACATTGTTCTGCAATTATACTGTCTTACTAATACTTACATACAGTACTGCATTTCTAAAGATTTTCATCCTTGTCTTCAGCCCTGCATTTATTTTCTATTTCACTGAAGCACTTTTCCAAACTCTTCTACAAAGTTCCAGTTAAGCAAAAACACTATTTTGTTAGGAAAAAATGCAGGGGTGTAGAAAAGTCTATCTAGATCAGAAACAGAAAGGAAAAAAGGGACAGGAATAAAAAAGAATAAAAATAGGCATAATATCACCAGTGCATTCATGGCAACACAATCAGCAGGCCTGCCAATGAAGCTTCCAACAGTCACCAGAGGAGATTCCAAGATTACCTATTAAGTGAAAGGCTGGTGGGTTCTAGCTAAAAAGTGACCCATACTGATATGTATAATACAAATAACACACACACACAAATAAACACATTGCTAAGGAACATGCTGATTAGATCATGGAAATGGCAAGAGGAAAAGAAAGATAACAGGAGAGAGAGAAAGAGAGATTTGGCGTTTTGCCCAATGTTGTAGTTGGAGGGAAATCTAAAATGTGATGTCAGTACATTTCTGGCAAGACAGCAACTGACTGAAAGATGGATGAATGTATTTTTTTTTATCTGGATCACCCTGCCATGGTGGAAATTATTAAGAGAGGAAAAAAGCAAAACACTATATACATAAAATGTTTAGGCACTCAAAGCTGAGGATAAGCATATTTAAGCAGAAATAAAAATGTATTCAACTTAGACATACAGTACTTGCATTATAATGCATTTTGCAGTTTTTTCTATACAGTTTTTTACAAGTTTAGTACAGTGCCTACACTCAAAATTAAGGAGGGGTTTGGGATATTTACTGTTCAGAGGGACATCTAAACTGCCGTATCTGTGCACCTCTGGCAAGACCACTAGTGATAGTGTGAACGATAGTGAATATTTCTTTTTCGGGTCACCCTGCCTTGATGGGAGAGGGCCAGCATGTAAAAAAAAAATATTACCTCTTGCTCATTATCAAGTTTCCTCCAAGGAGATTTGCCTTTAGCAAGAATCTTGCGCAATGAAGATGGTGTCATTCCTTTCTTCCCACGTGGGGTCAGTCCTTTCTTGCTTAGCACAGTAACACCACCAGGAGATCGAAAGGAGTGGACTGAAGTAGAGCTTGGAGAGTTGACAGAGTGAGTACTCCTGGTTTGTCGACGGCTTGAGACCGGAGATCCACCAGAATATGCTGATTGAGGACTTTCCTGTTAAAACATTTTAACTGCAGCATTATCTTTACATATGCAAGTTATAATTAACACCATTTATCTTTTCTTTGCAAGCATGTTGTAAGTTAGTTAGTTTAATATCTTTATTATGCACCCCATACCCATCCTGTGGGCATGTTATAATGAAGAAACTTTCTATTTTTCTTCGTAAGGAACTTATAATCAACAAACCCTATCATTTTCATGTTTATGGTGATACACAGAGAGCTACTTATTAAATTGAAGCAGCAAGCTAGTGTAAAAGAAAGAAAATTACTGTACTTTAAAAGAAGAAATGTCACAGTGTGGAGTGAAGTATATATTGTTTTTTAAATACATCAGCCGTTTTTCACCAAGGCATGGTGACTCAAAAAGAAAGAAAAAAAAAATCATCATCATTCAACACTTTCACCATCACTCATACATAATCACTGTCTATACAGAGGCACTCAGATACAACAGTTTATCCCTCCAAACTGCCAGTATCCAAAACCCCTCCTTTAAAGTGGAGGCATTGTACTTCCCATTTCCAGGACTCAAGTCTGGATAGAGAGAAGAAAAAGAGAGAGAGAATGAATCAAAGCATGCTTGTACCAGCTATTTCCTTGTATTTATTATTTTATTAATTAACATATCAGCCATCTCCTATCAATGCAGGGTGGCCCGAAAAAGAAAAATTATCACCATTCACTCCATCACTGTCTTGCCAGATACAAGCTCATATGACAGTTATAAAACTGCAACATTAACACCCCTCCTTCAGAATGCAGGCACAGTACTTCCCATCTCCAGGACTCAAATCCGGCCTAACAGTTTCCCTGAATCCTTTCATAAATGTTACCTTGTTCATACTCCAACAGCAAGTCAAGCCCTTAAAACCATTTGACTCCATTTGCTCCTATCTAACATGCTCACACACACTTGCTGGAAGTCAAAGCCCCTCGCACACAAAACCTCCTTGACCCTCTCCCTCCCTTTCCTAGGCTGACCCCTACCCCATCTTCCCTCCACTAGAGAAGTCATTCTATTTCATTCAATCCTCTCTACATGTCCGAACCACCTCAACAACCCCTCCTCAGCCCTGTAGATAACAGTTTTGGTAATCCCGCACTTCCTCCTAATTTCCAAATTTTGGATTCTCTGCATTATAATCACACCACACATTGCCCTCAGACATGACATCTCCACTGCCTGCAGCCTTCTCCTTGTTGCAACATTCATCACCCATATTTCACACCCATATAAGAGCATTGGCATTACTATACTCTTGTACATTCTTCTCTTTGCTTCCATGGATAATATTGTCTCCACAGATTCCTCATTACACCATTTCTTTGTATGACTGGTCATATCAATACAACAGTCTGTTTTACCGGATGTTTGTTCATGTCTGGTAGTTGGTCAATTAAGCAACATCCACTTAATCAAAATTTTGAATATAACTGATTTTTCACTAAAGCAGACACCCCTTTCTCACTACTAAGCCATTTCATCAGACATTTACCGTATTGTACTTTAATTTCCCCAAGAGACTTTTACCTTTTTTTGCACGTTATTTAGTTTTAAAGAGTTCTATACTGAAAACATATGTAAAATGAAAATCAATTTGTGTGTATACTGTGAGTAGGTCAACAAAAAGGAAAAACAAACAATATAATCCTCCACACCTGCCTCCTTACAAGGTGAGGAGGTAGGTGTATAAGGGTGAATGAGCTAACTGAGTTATGCAACATTTTGATTTTGCTGACTTGTGTCTCCAGGTCTAAAGATTGTTTGAAGTAGGGAAGGGACAATACCAAGTAATTTACCGATACCTACAGAGTCTCTCCTCACTTAGCGCCGTACTCGTTTACCGATGACTCAAACTTTCAACTGGCTCTCTGACCAGTATGCATCCCTAAATAATGTATATGAGAGCTGATTTCCTTTGTCCTTTTTCCTTTGTCCTGTGATTGGTGGAATGATGAAGTAAAGGGTGTGATAAAAGAGAAAAAGGTAGCTTACGAGAGGTTTTTACAAAGCAGAAGTGTTATAAGAAGAGCAGAGTATATGGAGAGTAAAAGAAAGGTGAAGAGAGTGGTGAGAGAGTGCAAAAGGAGAGCAGATGAAAGAGTGGGAGAGGCACTGTCAAGAAATTTTAATGAAAATAAGTAAAAATTTTGGAGTGAGTTAAACAAGTTAAGAAAGCCTAGGGAAAGTATGGATTTGTCAGTTAAAAACAGAGTAGGGGAGTTAGTAGATGGGGAGAGGGAGGTATTAGGTAGATGGCGAGAATATTTTGAGGAACTTTTAAATGTTAAGGAAGAAAGGGAGGCGGTAATTTCATGCACTGGCCAGGGAGGTATACCATCTTTTAGGAGTGAAGAAGAGCAGACTGTAAGTGTGGTGGAGGTACGTGGGGCATTACGTAGAATGAAAGGGGGTTAAAGCAGCTGGAACTGATGGGATCATGACAGAAATGTTAAAAGCAGGGGGGGATATAGTGTTGGAGTGGTTGGTACTTTTGTTTAATAAATGTATGAAAGAGGGGAAGGTACCTAGGGATTGGCGGAGAGCATGTATAGTCCCTTTATATAAAGGGAAAGGGGACAAAAGAGATTGTAAAAATTATAGAGGAATAAGTTTACTGAGTATACCAGGAAAAGTATACGGTAGGGTTATAATTGAAAGAATTAAGAGGTAAGACAGAATGTAGAATTGCGGACGAACAAGGAGGTTTCAGAGTGGGTAGGGGATGTGTAGATCAAGTGTTTACATTGAAGCATATATGTGAACAGTATTTAGATAAAGGTAGGGAAGTTTTTATTGCATTTATGGATTTAGAAAAGGCATATGATAGAGTGGATAGAGGAGCAATGTGGCAGATGTTTCAAGTATACGGAATAGGTGGTAAGTTACTAAATGCTGTAAAGAGCTTTTATGAGGATAGTGAGGCTCAGGTTAGGGTGTGTAGAAAAGAGGGAGAATACTTCCCGGTAAAAGTAGGTCTTAGACAGGGATGTGTAATGTCACCATGGTTGTTTAATATATTTATAGATGGGGTTGTAAAAGAAGTAAATGCTAGGGTGTTCGGGAGAGGGGTGGGATTAAATTATGGGGAATCAAATTCAAAATGGGAATTGACACAGTTACTTTTTGCTGATGATACTGTGCTTATGGAGATTCTAAAGAAAAATTGCAAAGGTTAGTGGATGAGTTTGAGAATGTGTGTAAAGGTAGAAAGTTGAAAGTGAACATAGAAAAGAGTAAGGTGATGAGGGTATCAAACGATTTAGATAAAGAAAAATTGGATATCAAATTGGGGAGGAGGAGTATGGAAAAAGTGAATGTTTTCAGATACTTGGGAGTTGACGTGTCGGCGGATGGATTTATGAAGGATGAGGTTAATCATAGAATTGATGAGGGAAAAAAGGGGAGTGGTGCGTTGAGGTATATGTGGAGTCAAAAAACGTTATCTATGGAGGCAAAGAAGGGAATGTATGAAAGTATAGTAGTACCAACACTCTTATATGGATGTGAAGCTTGGGTGGTAAATGCAGCAGCGAGGAGACGGTTGGAGGCAGTGGAGATGTCCTGTCTAAGGGCAATGTGTGGTGTAAATATTATGCAGAAAATTCGGAGTGTGGAAATTAGGAGAAGGTGTGGAGTTAATAAAAGCATTAGTCAGAGGGCAGAAGAGGGGTTGTTGAGGTGGTTTGGTCATTTAGAGAGAATGGATCAAAGTAGAATGACATGGAAAGCATATAAATTTATAGGGGAAGGAAAGAGGGGTAGGGGTCGTCCTCGAAAGGGTTGGAAAGAGGGGGTAAAGGAGGTTTTGTGGGTGAGGGGCTTGGACTTCCAGCAAGCGTGCATGAGCGTGTTAGATAGGAGTGAATGGAGACGAATGATACTTGGGACCTGACGATCTGTTGGAGTGTGAGCGGGGTAATATTTAGTGAAGGGATTCAGGGAAACCGGTTATTTTCATATAGTCGGACTTGAGTCCTGGAAATGGGAAGTACAATGCCTGCACTTTAAAGGAGGGGTTTGGGATATTGGCAGTTTGGAGGGATATGTTGTGTATCTCTATACGTATATGCTTCTAAACTGTTATATTCTGAGCACCTCTGCAAAAGCAGTGATAATGTGTGAGTGTGGTGAAAGTGTTGAATGATGATGAAAGTATTTTCTCTTTGGGGATTTTCTTTCTTTTTTTGGGTCACCCTGCCTCGGTGGGAGACGACCGACTTGTTGGAAAAAAAAAAAAAAAATCTTTGAAGAGTTTCGAGAGTTTATTTACTCTCTGAGCCTGGCCATGGGCCAGGCTCATCTGGTGCTTGCCTGGTCAACCAGGCTGTTGCTGCTGGAGGCCCACTGCCCTACATATCCATCACAGCCTGGTTGATCTGGCACCTGGTGAAGATACTTGTCCAGTTTCCTCTTGAAGGCTTCTACACTGGTTCCAGCCGTGTTTCTGATATCTTCTGGTAAGATGTTAAATAGTCTGGGAACCCGGATGTTGATACAGTGTTCCCTTATTGTCCCCACCACACCCCTGCTCCTCACTGGGTTTATTTACAATACACAGTACACCACTGTACAGACATTTATAAACATACTAAAAATGTTATAAATGGTGCAAATGTGACATTAAAACAATATAAAAAAAATGGGTGACACAAACCCACTACCATTATAGTATGCTCCTTGCTTAGCGACAAATTTGTTTACCGACGTGGTCTTAAAAATGAAACTGTTGCTAAGTGAGGAGAGGCTGTACTTAGTTTTAAGCTGACACTAATACTGCCAAATTTAGCCAATACCCACCAATACTGATATTTTGGCACAACCATAGTTAGAACTGAACCTCAGACAATGGTAATACCCACCACTTACACTTTTCAATGTTCCTTATTGTAATGTAAAATACAAACCCTGTAAGTCATGGGGTTAGGGTATTGGTGCTGACATTATTTCTGAAACCATGGATTTTTTTTTTTTAACAAGACAGCAGTCTCCCACTGAGGCAGGGTGACCTAAAGAAAGAAAGAAAGAAGAAAAAAAAAAAAGTAACACTTTCACCATAATTCACATATCACTGTCTTTGCAGATGCATCCAGATATGACAGTTTAGACGTCACTCCAAACAGCCAATATCTCAAACCCCTCCAGGACTCAAGTTTGGCTAACTGGTTTCCTTGAATCCCTTCACAAAATATTACCCTGCTCACACTCCAACAGCTCATCAGGTCCCAAAAAACATTCATCTTCATTCACTCCAAACATACTCACACATGACTCACACATGCCTGCTGTATGTCCAGGCCCTTGCATACAAAACCTCTTTTACCCCCTCCCTCTATCCTTTCCTAGGATGACCCCTACTCCTCCTCCATGGATCTCATTATATTATTCTTATGAGAATAATATAAAGTTTTCGCAATATTTCTTTAAAATGTTACTTTAATTTAAAGAAAGAATAAGCCCATATTGCATGCAATTTTATGGCTAATTTTAAATTTAAGGATCATATACCAACCAGAGAGAGTGGCCACTCAAACCATGACTAACTGAAGCTATCTGCAAAGTGGTCTTCAGTATAAATGCATAACCACATCACACAGAGTAAGAAGCATGCAAATTCCTGAGTCTGAATGTATATAACATGTTGTCACCCAGTATAATAAAAGATAATGGCTACAAGAGTGTGGTAGTCTTTTTTTTTTTTACTAAAGTTTAACCCTTTGAGGGTCGACAGGCCCTCTCCGAAACTCGTTCTCAGGGTCGGCCAAATTTAAAAAAAAAAAAAATGATTTTCTCTTATGAAAAGATAGAGAATCTTTTCCCGATCATAAAGACACCAAAAGTTTGAAATTTGATAGAAAACTTACGGAATTATGCTCTTGCAAAGTTAGCGGTCTCGGCGATGTTTGCGCATCGGCGATTTTGCCCACTTTGAGCCCCATTTTCGGCCAATTTCACTGTACTAGTCGACAAAAAACATGAATATTTCGCTAGAACTCCATTTTTTCTATCGAATGGATGCAAGAAACCACTCATTTATGAAATTCAACTATCCAGTACAGTGGTCAGAATTTAGCAATTTTGCCAATTTCACACAAATTTCAAAAGATGCCAATTTCGGAATAGGGTCCAGAATAAACAAGAAAGACATTCCTGGCACTAAAATGACATTTCCTCTAGTCATTAGTCATGTCTCAAGTCCCCTCTTATATTCTTTTGCTTTCCACTTTGAATTTTTATTTTCACAAAAAATATAAGATTTACTGTTATGCAGACTACTGCATTAGTGTAAAAAATGGTATAAATATTATTGGTGCACTTGTGAAAGAATATTAGACTCACCAGTTGACGTGTATTGCACGCTTGGCACGATTTGTTTACTTTTGAAGTTTGGTAAAAATCGAACATTTCTGCTACTTTGAGCTCAATTTCAAGGCACCTTTCTTTGTAAAACCAGTCAAAATCATATCAATTTCTGTAATATGTCTTCTATTCTATAAAATGAGACCAAGAAAACTAGAATACAACAATAAATACCATACGAAAATACACTGCAAAGTCGCTGATTTATTAAAAAAAAATGGTCAAAGTTTTTTTTTTCTCATTATGCACTGTGTGCTGCAGGATTTTTTTTAGACTGTGCACACTGACCACATAGACCCATTCTTTCATATGAAGGCCTACCAGCTTTCTCCCACTAGATTTGAGGCCGCTAGAATTTATGAGTACTAGTACGTCAAAAACCCCTACGCGTAAAACGTACTAGTACGACGAAAACCCTCAAAGGGTTAAGGGTTAACATCAGTACAGCATCTGAAAGCTTGATACCTGTAATTTAAATGCAGTGAGACAATTTTTAATGTTAAAAGGAGATTGTAACCAGAGAATAAAAATATCCATAAAGTCATTCAAAAAAAGTGAAATACACTAGCCACTGAAGACAATATACTATGGTACATAGTAACATCTCTCTGAAAATGGGGTGTTAATGTTGCAGTTTTATAACTGGATTGTAGGCATGCCTCTGGCAAGACAGTGATGGAGTGAATGATGATGATGATGAAAGTTTTTCCTTTTTGGGCCACCCTGCCTTGGTGGGAAATGGCTGATGTGTTAATAAAAAAAATATAAATAATATACTAAATGATGTAATTTTTACCTTAACTTTGTTTGTGTCTATTAGCTTCCTCCCTCGATATGATAAGCTTGGAAGTGATATATCAGAAGCAATGGATTCTCGCCGATTTTCCTTGTCACCTCTGCCCAAACTTTTTCGTCCAGGTGTTGGTGGTCCAGGACGAGAGTAAGAAGTCTGTTCAAAGGTTTACAAGAAAATTATTAAAAACTACAAGGTAAATTATTGGCAATTTAATTCCACACAACATATACATATTACAGTTACTGCCTATAAAATATCAAATGGATGACCCTTCATCTGCAGCAACAGAATCCCTCTTCAGAGTGCAGGTACTGTCCTTCCCCTCTTCATTACTCAAGTTTGGCTAACCAGTTTCCCTGAATCCCTTCATAAACGTTACCTGGCTCACACCCCAACAGCACATGTTACAACGCACCAACACACTCATAAAAGCCTTCTGGATGTTCAAGTCCCTAGCGCTCAAAACCTCCTTTATCATCTCCTTCCAACTGTTCAGGGAACAACCCCTATCCCTCCATCCATGCACCTCAGATTAATACTCCCTCTTTGTCACCCAGTCCCTTTCCATTCTCTCAGAATATCCAAACCACCTCGACAATACCTCAACCCTCTGAATACTGAAGATTGAGACACTTATGCACCATATGGGAATCTTTATTTAGGAAACGTTTTGCCACACAGTGGCTTCATCAGTCCAATACAAAGCAGAAAGGTGCAAGGAGAGGAGGAGATTGAGGTAATCAGTCCCTCAGCCTGGAGGCGATGTGTTCAGTCCATCAATCTTGTAGAATGTACAGCATAGGGCCATAGACGTGGTTTAAATACTGTAGTCAGGTGAGGCAAAGCAGGAGGAGGCGGGGTCATAGTGGTACCATCCACTAGTCGAAGTAGGTCTTCGTCCAAAGGTAGGACAAGTTGGAGAATTCTCTGTATCAAGATCCCATGATGATGCAGTGTCTGACAGTTGTGATGAATGGTTCATGGTTGAATGGTTCATGGTTTTGAAAACCGACAAGTTGATTTTCAAAACCATTCATCATAACTGTCAGACACTGCATCATCATGGGATCTTGATACAAAGAATTCTCGAACTTGTCCTACCTATGGACGAAGACCTACTTCAACTAGTGGATGATACCACTATGACCCCGCCTCCTGCTTCGCCTCACCTGACTACAGTATTTAAGCCACGTCTACGGCCCTATGCTGTACATTCTACAAGATTGATGGACTGAACACATCGACTCCAGGATGAGGGACTGATTACCTCAATCTCCTCCTCTCCTTGCACCTTTCTGTTTTGTATTGGACTGATGAAGCCACTGTGTGGTGAAACGTTTCCTAAATAAAGATTCCCATATGGTGCACAAGTGCCTCAATTTTCAACTTGTCGGTTTTCAAAACCATTCATCACACCTCTGAATACTCTTGGTGATCCCACACTGTCCTCTAATGCCTAGGCTAAGAATTCTCGGCATAATATTCAAACCACACACTGCTCTCAAACATGACATCTCCACTGCCTCTAGTTGCTGCCTCACTGCAACATTCAAAGCCATGCCTCCACTAATGATTAGACAATACCAAAATTTTTGCCAGAACCAATACCCAATTTTAGTCTAATAGCAATACCACCAAACTTAACCGATTCCCACTAATACCAACACCATCAACATTAGCTGATACTCACTGGCACCGATACTTTAGTACACCCCTACTCTCACACCTATATAAAAGCGTGGGTACTACTATACTGGGGTATATTTCCCTTCACTTGCCCCACATGCCTCGGCACACTCAGTGGATCGAGTACCTTAGGAAAAAGAAGCAAATAGTGACTGTCCAGAAAGATATGTCAGATCAGGGAAGAGTAACAAAGCAATGTAACACAAGGATCGGTATTAGGACCAGTGCTGTTTCTGGTTAATGTGAACAACATACCAGGTGGGACCAAGTCAGATGTATCTATTAGCTGATGTTAAACTAATGAGGAAAATACAAAACAGATAAGGAGGGCAAAAGGCTGGAGTTGGATCTCAACAAACTGAAGGGTTAGTCATATAAGTGGCTGCTTGAATTCAACCCCAGCAAGTGCAAGATTATGAAGTCTGGGGGAAAATGCCAGAAAACCAGACAGAATATAGACTTTGGGGACAGGCTGCAGATCTCATTCAAAGAGGACATGGGAATAAGCAGTGTCCCATAACATCAGAGTTCACATTAACCAAATAATCTCTTCAGCCAATGCTTGCTTGGCAATACTTATAGATGGGGTTGTAAATGAAGTGAATGCTAGGGTGTTAACTAGAAGTGTGGGAGTGAAAGATGATGAATATGATAGAGAGAGTTGTCACAGGTACTCTTTGCTATGATATAGTTCTTTTGGGAGATTTGGAAGAAAATTTGCAAGGGTTGGTGGATAAATTTGGGAGGATATGCAAAAAAGAAGGAATTTTAACGTAAACATAGGAAAGAGCAAGGTGATGAGAGTACAAAAAAGCAGAAGCAATGAGAGATTGTATATTAGATTGGAGGGAGGGAATATGGATAACTTAAACGTGTTCAGATATCTACGAGTTAACTTGTTGGTAGATGATTCCACGAGAGAAGAAGCAAACCATAGAATTAACAGTGAGAAAAATGTATCGAGGCCTCTGTAGACAAAAAATTTCATCCAAAGAGGCAAAAAGGAAAATGTACCAGAGTATAGTGGTACCAACACTGTTGTATGGGTGTGAAGCATGGATTTTGAATAATGCAGCATGGTGGAGCCTGGGTAGCAATACGTGAAAACATTATGCAGAAAACTCCGCATTTGAACATAAGGAAATGTGGAGTTACAGTAAGTATTATTCAGAGGGCTGGGGAGTGGTTGTTGAGTAAGGATGGAGAAAAATTGGATGACTAGAAGGGCATGTAAATCTGTTGTGAAGGAAAAAAGGGTAAGGAGTCTTCTTAGGAAAGGTTGGAGGGAGTAAAGGAGGCTTTGAATGCTAGGGGCTTGGACAGCCAAAAGGCTTCTGCAAGTGTGTTAGATACAAGTGGAGGCAAATGGTTTTTATTATTAGATTTGCTGTTGGAGTGTAAGCAGGGTAACATTTATGAGAAAATTCAGGAAAAATGGTTAGCCAGACCTGAGGTCTGGAGGTGGCAAGTATAGTGCCTGTACTCTGAAGGAAGGGTGAGGATATTGTGCTTAAGAAAGTCATCTGAACTGTGATGTCGGTACCCTTCTGGCAGGATAGTAATGAGTGACAGTGAAAGTACAGTGGACCCCCGCATAACGCTATTAATCCGTTCCTGAGAGCTCAATGTTATGTGAAATTATCGTTATGCGAATTAATTTTCCCCATAAGAAATAATGGAAATCAAATTAATCCGTGCAAGACACCCAAAAGTATGAAAAAAATTTTTTTACCACATGAAATATTAATTTTAATACACACAAACTTAAGAAAACATGCACAGTTACATGACACTTACCTTTATTGAAGATGTGGTGATGATTGATGGGATGGGAGGAGGGGAGACTGGATGGTTTTAGTGTTTAGAAGGGGAATCCCCTTCCATTAGGACTTGAGGTGTCAAGTCCTTTTCCGGGGTTGCTTCCCTTCTTCTTTTAATGCCACTAGGACCAGCTTCAGAGTCACTGGACTTCTGTCACACAACATATCTGTCCATAGTGGCCTGTACCTCTCGTTCTTTACGACTTTCCTAAAGTGTTTCACAACAGTGTCAGTGAAAATAGTCACCAGCACGGCTTGCAATAGCTTCTGAGGGTGATTTTCATCCATGAAGGTTTGCACTTCAAGTCACTTTGCACAGATTTCCTTAATCTTTGAAGTAGGCAACTTCTTCAATTTCTCTCTCCCCTCCTCCGAAGCAATTTCCTCAGGTGTGGCCTCTTGCTGTTGAAGTTGATCTAGCAGCTAATCAGTGGTTAGTTCTTCATTGTCCTCCTCCACCAAATCTTCCACATCCTCCCCACTAATCTCCAACCCCAAGGACTTCCCCAATGCCACAACTGATTCCTCAACTGGTATAGGATTCTCAGGGTTAGCCTCAAATCCTTCAAAATCCCTTTGGTCTACACATTCTGGCCACAGTTTCTTCCAAGCAGAGTTCAAGGTCCTCTTAGTCACTCCCTCCCAAGCCTTACCTATAAGGTTTACACAACTGAGGATATTAAAGTGCTCTCTCCAAAACTCTCTTAGAGTCGATTGAGTTTCTGAGGTCACTACAAAGCACCTTTCAAACAGAGCTTTTGTGTACAGTTTTTTGAAGTTTGCAATAACCTGCTGGTCCATGGGCTGCAGGAGAGGAGTGGTATTAGGAGGCAAAAACTTCACCTTAATGAACCTCATGTCCCCACAAAGTCGCTCTGCCAAGTCTGTAGGATGACCAGGGGCATTGTCTAACACCAGGAGGCACTTAAGGTCTAATTTCTTTTCAGTTAGGTAATTTTTCACAGTGGGGGCAAATGCTTGGTGTAACCAGTCATAGAAAAGTCCTAGTGACCCATGCCTTATTGTTTGCCCTCCACAGCACACACAAATTAGCCTTGAGGATATTCTTTTCCCTGAATGCTCTGGGAGTTTCAGAGTGATACACTAATAAAGGCTTCACTTTGCAATCACCACTAGCATTGGCACACATGAGAAGAGTAAGCCTGTCTTTCATAGGCTTATGTCCTGGGAGTGCCTTTTCCTCCTGAGTAATGTAGGTCCTGCTTGGCATTTTCTTCCAAAAACAGGCCTGTTTTGTCACAATTAAACAATTGTTCAGGTTTCAGTCCTTCACTGTCTATGTACTCCTTGAATTCATGCACATATTTTTCAGCTGCTTTTTGGTCTGAACTGGCAGCCTCACCATGCCTTATCACACTATGTATGCCACTATGCCTCTTAATCTCTCAAACCAACCTTTGCTGGCCTTAAATTCACTCGCATCACTACTAGTTGCAGGCATTTTTTCTAATTAAATCCTCGTGCAACTTCCTAGCCTTTTCACTTATGATCGCTTGAGAGATGCTATCGCCTGCTATCTGTTTTTCGTTTATCCACACCAATAACAGTCTCTCAACATCTTCTATCACTTGCGATCTCTGTTTCGAAAGCACAGTTAAACCTTTGGCAAGAACAGCTTCCTTGATTGCCGTTCTCTTGGACACAATAGAAGCGATGGTTGATTGGGGTTTACTATACAACCTGGCCAGCTCGGAGACACGCACTCCACTTTCATACTTAGCAATGATCTCTTTCTTCATCTCCATAGTAATTTTCACCCTTATTCCTGTAGGGTTGGCACTAGAAGCTTTCTTGGGGCCCATGGTCACTAATTTTTCAGGTGAAATCACTATAAAAAGGCTGTAATAATACGAAATGTTCCGATTGTATGCTTGAATGTTACCGCGGAGGCTGGCTTGTAAACAATGCCACTGGCAGAACAAGTGAGGCTGGCTCAGGCCGCATGGACGTGTCTCGGACAAATCGCGTTGAGCAAATTTTTTAGCACTATGCGAGGCAAAATTTTAGCGATAAAATGTATCGCTATGCGGATTTAACACTATGCGATGCCAACGTTATGCGGGGGTCCTCTGTATATTCTTCTCTGTAGGGTCACCCTACCTAGGTGGGAGATGGCTGGAATGTTTTTTTTTTTCTTTTTTAACATACCAACCATATCTTGTAGTTTATACAGCAGTAGATGTTATTAGCTCCTTTTAGTCGTCTCTTAGGACATGCATGGCTTACAGAGGAACAATTCTTTTCCACTTCCTCATGGAGATTTAGAAGAAATAAAGAACAAGAACTATTAAAAAAACAGAAGAAAACCCAGATGTGTATGTATATATATGCATGTACATGCATGCGTAATGTGACCTAAGTGTACGTAGAAATAGCAAGATAAACCTGGTATCTCGCATGTTTGAGACAAAAAAAAGGACACCAGCTAGCCTACCATCGTGTAAAACAATTCCCAATCTCTGTTTCACACTCACTTGGCAGGACAGTAGTATGTACCTTCCTGACTGCTTGCTGTCTACCAACATATAACATATGACAAGCAATTTTTTTTAACTGTATTACTGAAGGACTAGGTAGGCAACTACTATATGCTAAGATAAAAAAAAAAAAGCACTGAAGGACCATTTACATACATCATGCTAGAACACCTCATACTGGCTGGAGAACATACAGGATGATACCAAAAATATGTAAAGACACATGCACAGTTAGAGACATTATCTGATTAATCTAGGTTACCCGATGTTATGCACAATTCACGATATTTACTGAGTAATCTGAATTACCCAAAATTACCTGTAAGATGTTATTCTGCTTTTAGGCTATACTCACATGACCTCTTACACTATACTTGTTACAGCATCTCTGTTACCACCAAAAGTTAGTCATGGCAAAAACATTTTGTCATTAAATGTTGTGAACCGTGCATAGGTCTTCACACACTTCCCACTAATGTAATGCCAACCTACAACTGTACAGAAAATGGATAGCTTACAGATAATCTTTTAGTCCTTTTGCCCCCTGAGTAATCAATAGAAGATTCTGATTGTGTGGAATCTGAAAAAGACTTCCGCTTGCGAAGGTTGAAGGCTGGCGAGTCCAGACCTAGATTTTCTGTTGCCTGAGTTAAGTTCATCAACTGTCTGTCTTCTACTGCACACCCTTCCTGAAGAAAGGGGGGAAAAGCTTAAGTGTTATTGTTTTTAAGGTCCCCTTCCATAAAGCAGAAATCGCCGTGAAGTGGAACACCATTTTTTCCACTCGTAAATGCATATAAATACTAAATAAGTTTACACTAACATATATTAAGTTAGTATTAGAACTAGGCATTAAAAAACAATAAAGTAAAATACACATATATTACACTCATTACTTGTCTTAAAATATTTGTAGTCTTGACTCCTTGATTGTCGCAACCCCAAATCCTGAGGTGTCTCCTGGTGTCGCAAAATTTCCGGAGGAAAAAAAAAAAAATAATGAAATGATAGAGAATCTTTTCCCAATTGTAATGACACCAAAAGAACGAAATCTGATGGAAAACTGACAGAATTATGTTCTCGCGACGTTAGCGACCTTGGCGATATTTACGAATCGGTGATTTCGTCCACTTTGAGCCCTATTTTCGGCTAATTCCATTGTTCCAGTCAACCAAACTCATATCTATTTCTTTAGAACTCCATTTTTTCTATCTAATGAGAATAAGAAACTGCCCATTTACTGATTTCAACTACCCAATAACAAGGTCAGAAATTTGCAATTTGGCCAATTTCACGAAAATTAAAGAACATGACAATTTCAAAATAGGGTCCAGAATGAACAATGCAGACATTCCTGACTCTAAAATAACATTTTCTTTGTTCATCAGTCATGTCTCCAGGCCCCTCTGGGCTGTATAGTCCTTGTGGCTTAGCGCTTTTTTTTGATTATAATAATAATAATCCAGGCCCCTCTGACATTACTCTTGCTTTATATTTTGAATTTTTATTCAAACAAAAAATAGAAGATTTACTGTTATGCAGACTACTGCAATATTGTAATAATTGTATAAATAATGTCAACCCATTCATGACTGCATATTACAATGGCTACTTCGACATTTATTGGAAAATGACATCATTTGTTTACTTTTGAACATTAGCAACAATAAAACATTTCTCCTACTTTGAGCTCCATTTCAAGGTTCTTTTCAAAGTAAAACCAATCAAAATCACCTATATTTCTATATATTTTCCATTCTATCAAATGAGACCAAGAAAATGAGGATACACCCATAAATACTATATGAAAATAGAGCAAAAAGTCGACATTTTAATTAATAATAATAATAATAATAATAATAATAAATAATAAAAATAATAATAAAAAACCGGTCAGGGTTTTTCTTTCTCATTATGCACTGCGTGCTGAAGGATTATTTTTATATGGTGCACACTGACCACACAGATCCATTCTCTCCCATGTGGGCCTACCAGCTTTCTCCTGCTTGATTTGAAGCCGCTAGAATTTATGAGTATATATACGTCAAACACGGTGGCTCGTAAGCCATATGTATACGACCGAAACAGTCTAAGGGTTAATGTAGGGCGAGATGAGTAGTATTTATTGTAAGAAATCAGGTGTGGTACGCATGGCAGCCAGCCAGGCTAATATACCAGGCCACCCCACCCACACATAATATACTATGACATTTAAAGGATCCCAGAGTGATAAAATGCATATACAGTTCACTCGTTACTTACCTTAAAATATTTGTAGTCTTAACCCTTCGACTTTCGCAAGCCCATTTCTGAAACTGTCACTCTATGTCGCAAAATTTTTTTGGGGAAAAAAAAAAATTTCTTATGAAATGATGGAGAATCTTTTCCCAATGATAATAACACCAAAAGTACGAAATTTGATTGAAAATTTACGGAATTAAGCTCCCTTGAAGTCAGCGATCTTGACGATATATACGCATCGGCAATTTTGCCGACTTTGAGCTCTATTTTCCGCCAATTCCTCTCTTCCAGTCGACCAAACTCATAGCTATTTCATTAGAACTCCATTCTTTCTATCAATTGAGTACAAGAAACTGCCCATTTATCGATTTCAACTACCTAATAAAGTCAGAAATTGGCATTTGGCCAATTTCATGCAAATTAAAAAAGATGCCAATTTCAAAATAGGGTCCAGAATAAACAATGCAGACATTCCTGGCACTAAAATAACATCCTCTGTTCATTAGTCATGTCTCCAGGCCCCTCTTATATTACTCTTGCTTTCTATTCAAATTTTTTATTCACACAAAAAATAGAAAAGACAATTTACTGTTTGCAGACTACTGCATTACTGTAAAAATGGTATAAATAATTTCAGTGCACTAGTAAAAGAATATTAGACTCCCCAGTTGATGTGTATTGGACGTGTGGTGTGATTTGCTTACTCTTGAACTTCTGTAAAAATCAAACATTTCCGCTACTTTGAGCTCAATTTCATGATCGTTTTCATCGATTAACTAACCAAAATCATCTCTATTTCTGTAATATGTTTTCCATTCTATCAAATGAGACAAAGCAAAGAAGAATACAACCATAAATACTATATGAAAATATACCTCAAATTTGGCATTTTAATCCAAAAACATGTTTGGAGTTTTTTTTTCTCATTATGCACTGTGTGCTGCAGGATTTTTTTTATACAGTGCACACTGACCATACCGACCCATTCTCTCACTTGTGGGCCTACCAGCTTTCTACTGTTTGATTTGAAGCCGCTAGAATTGAGTATATATACATCCGAAACACTGGCTCATAAAACGTATGTATACGACCGAAACAGTCAAAGGGTTAATGTAGGGTCAGAGATAAATAAACGAGATAAAACGAATAAACAAGAGAGTAAATGAGTACACGAGAGAGGACAAACGTGGAGTTATGTAAACAAACCAGGCGATCACATCTGGTTTTGGTTCATACTTAAGTTTATTCAGGTACAGTAGGGCCCAGTTTTTGCGGCGTTTTACCTTATGGCATTCTGCTAATACGGCGATTTCAAATTATGACCAAAACTCTCCATATGGCTCCCAGTCTTTCTAATATGGCGCATGCCTCCTGGTTTGTTTACATTCTCCATGAGCACCGCATCTCTCCATTATGTTTGGAAACTTTCCAAAATATCAAGTGTTTTAAAGTTATTTCACATTTTATATATAGTACTCTGATAATTATACTTATGTGTACCCATACCTAAGTAAACTTACTTTGTGCAGGCATGCAGGTACACATTAAAACCACTAAGAATGTTTTATTAGTCTTGAAGATGCCATATTAATAACGATAATAATAACAAATAAATCACAAATAAGTCACCCTGCCTCGGTGGGAGACGGCCGACTTGTTGAAAAAAAAAAAAAAAAAAAAAAAATATATTATATATATATAGTATATATATATATATATATATATATATATATAATATATTATATATATATATATATATATATATATATATATATATATAGTATATATATATATATATAGTATATATATATATATAGTATATATATATATATATATATATATATATATATATATATATATATATATATATATATATATATATATATATATATATATATATATATATATAAATGATGATGAAAGTATTTTCTTTTTGGGGATTTTCTTTCTTTTTTGGGTCACCCTGCCTCGGTGGGAGACGACCGACTTGTTGAAAAAAAAAAAAAAAAAAAAAAAAAAAAAAAAAAAAAAATAATAACAACACAATAATAATCACTCTGAGGTGTATAAATGTTGTATAAAACTTTAATATAGGCATTTTGCTTAATCCAACTATGATATTTTTTTTCAAAATTATATAATAAACATGCTATGTAACATATAAACATGATAAATATACCCACAGTAGAAAAAATTAACATAAATATGAGATGTTTTTCAAGTTGGCTTGCAGAAGTGAACTAAAACCATACGTGTTCGGCTGGTTTGTTTACAAAACTCACGTTTGTTCTCTCTCATGTACTCCTCCTCTCTTTCTATCTTGCATATTTGTTTAATCTTGTTTATTCACTTCTCACCCTACATTAAGACTACAAAAAGGTAAGTAATGAATGTACTGTACATGCATTTTATCGCTATAGGGCACTTTAAATGCCTAGTATATAATGTGTGGGTGGGGTGGCCAGATGGGGTTATGATACCTACAACACTATTTGATACTTACCTACCCTACTATTCACCTAGCACCCTATATTAAGATCATTAAGACTACAAATATTTTAAGGTTGAATATTTTAAATATTTTGAATATTTTTAAATATTTTAAATATTTTAAGGCCGACTTGTTGAAGAAAAAAAAAAAGTAATGAGTGTACACTATATGCATTTTATCGCTCTAGGACTCTTTAAATGTCTACGTATATTGTGTGTGGGTTGGGTGGGGTGCCCTGGCTGGCTACCATACCTTCCACACCTAACTTCTTACAATAAACACTACTCACTTCTCACCCTACATTAAGACTACAAATATTTTGAGGTAAGTAATGAGTGTACTGTGTGTGTATTTTACTTTTTATGTTTTTTTAAAGCCTTGTGCTATTGCTAACTTAACATATGTTAGTGTAAACTTATTATCCAACATTTATAAATGGAAACAAATGGCGTTCTGCTTTCCGGCAGTAGCCTGGAACCTAACCTGCCGTATAAGTGGGGCCTTACTGTATAAACAAATACAGTTACGTAGATTATCATACATAGCATCATGTGTGTAAAGAACCTAGGAGTGACTGATTTTCATTGTTAGTGACTTACTTCCATTGTATTATACCATAACACATTGTGTACAAGTTGTTTCCAAGTTGATACAGTAGAATAAATAAAAAGCAACACTCCCATTCTCATGTAACACCATCTTAAGAAGAAATGACACTCTGGGTGAAGGCATACAAAAGGAATAATTTTCTAGTTCTTTTTTTTTAACGTCTGCCGTCTCCCACTGAGGCAGGGTGACCCAAAAAGAAAGAAAATCCCCAAAAAGAAAATACTTTCATCATTCAACGCTTTCACCTCACTCACACAATCACTGTTCTTAAAGAGGTGCCCAGAATACAACAGTTTAGAAGTATATACGTATAAAAATACACAATATATCCCTCCAAACTGCCAATAC